AAGAAATGTTGTTTTAAGTTTGGTTAAGCAAATAAATAAAAAGTAAAAGAAATGGTGCTGAGTCATCTAGACAACTATATGAACAAAACAAACGACCTTACCTTACCCTATTCATGAAGGTTAACTGGAAATGAATTTTAGACTTAAATATAAAACCTATAATGATATAACTTCTAGAAGAAAACATAGATGAAAATTTTTGGTTTCCCTCAGGTAGCTCATGGCTTTGCTTTCTTCCCTTTCTTTGGTATTTCCTAAATTGTCACCTTCTCACTGTGATCTTGCCTCCTTACTGTATATAATAGCAACACTAGTGCCTATGGATAGTGTGGGCTTGTACGACTATGCAGAGCCAGGAGAGGAAAAGGTGGTGTCTGGAGATAGGGTTGGAGAGAATGCAAAGGGAACAACAGACAGTTAGTTGACCCCATTACAATGACAGTGATTCATAATGAGGTACAGATCAGGACTTCCAATACAGAACATACATACATTGTTCTCATCAGCACATGGAACATTCTCCATGATAGACCACATGTTAAGTCACAAATTGAGTCTCAACAAATTAAAAAATTGAAATCATGTTAAGTATCTTTTCAGATCACAACAGATTAAAACTGGAAATCAATAACAACTGAAACTCTGGAAATCATACAAATACATGGAAACTAAACAACAGGCTCTTGAAAGACTTACAGGCCCAAGAAGAAATTAAACAGGAAATCAAAAAATGTCTTGAAACCAACAAAAATTAAGACACATCATACTAAAACTTGTGGATTACTGCAAAAGCAGTACTAAGAGGGAAGTTTATTGCAATAAGCACTTACATCAAAAGGATTCAAAGACTTCTAATAAATGACCTAATGTTACACCTCAAAGAACTAGAAAAAGAACAATCCAATCCTAAAGGGAGTAGACAGAAAGAAATAATTAAGATCATAGCAGACCTAAATGAAATAGAGACCCCCCAAACAATACAAAAGATCAATGAAACAAAAAGTTGACTTTTTGAGAAGATAAATAAAACAGATAACCATTAGCTATGTTAAAAAAAGAAGAGAGAAAACCCAAATAAAAAAATCAGAAACCAAAAAGGAGAAATTACCACCAACAACATAGAAATACAAAGAATCATTAGAGACTATTATAAAGAAGTATATGTCAGCAAATGTGAAAATATCGAAGAAATGGATAAAATTCTGGACACATACATATTACCAAGAGTGAACCAAGAAGAAATCCCCATCAAAATACCAATGACATTCTTCACAGAAATAAAAAAACAATACTAACATTCATATGGAACAACAAAAGACCACAAATAGTCAAAGCTTCCTGAGCAAAAAGAAAAAAATAAAGCTGGAGAGATAACAATATCTGACTTCAAATTATATTACACTCCCTTGTGCAGTTCTATTTACAATAGCCAAAAGTTGGATTGAACCTAAATGTCCATTGCTGGATGACTGGATAAGGAAAATGTGATATATTTACACAGTGGAATATTACTCAGCCATCAAAAAGAATGAAATACTGCTATTCACAGGAACACAGATGAACTTAGAGAAAATTATATTAAGTGAAATAAGCCAGGCACAGAAAGTGAAATACCACATGTCCTCATTCATAAGTGGGAGCTAAAAAATAAACAGATAAAAGAAAGAAAGAAAAATATAACAATCATAATAATAGGTTGAACTTTCAAAAAAAGAGAATAGAACTGGGGTTACCATAAATGGGTAAGGGGGTGTGGGGGGCAAATGAGGAATTGGTAGAGGGCTGTGAAAAATTATTACCCTGTGTAATGTTGAATATGTCAATTATCTTTACTTGAGTGTCACATATTGCACACGGGTATTGATATTCAACTCTGTACCCTACAGATATGTACAATAAACTGTGTTTCAATAAAAAATTAAATTATATTATATGTGGAAAAAACAAATGTTATAAAACAGAGAAATAATAAACAGTCTTAAGCCCATCACTCAAAGACAACCAATGCTGCTGCAAACATTTTGGTGTTACCTTGTTCACATGTTATTGTGAACGTGATATTTTATTCACGTGTTAAACACATGATATTCCAGTGTTTTATATACTTTGTACACAATTGTGGTCACACTGTGGGTAATTTTTTCCCCTGTGATATTTAACATGGCTCATGTAATGGAGAAAACAGAGCCATTGAAATTAGATAGACCTGATTTTAAAGTCTATTTGCTATCTGTCTGGAGAGGGAGGAAAACCTTAATCTTTATGAGTTTAAATTTCCTTATCAGTTAACTGAGAATAATGCTAATAATCCGTCAGAGTTATTTTGAGAATTCAATGAGGTAATATTTGCCAAGTACAAGATACATAATATTTGCTCTCAATAAACAGTAGCTTCCATTGCAAACTCTTTGTAAATACTCATATAATGTATATGATTATATAAAATATTTTATTGAAAGAATTTATCAAGCCATAACTAAGCTATGTTTATGTTAGTTTTGCTTGAGTTACTTTAGCTAACCCCTTTCTTTTGGGAGCCTTCTTAAGGTACTAAGTGTTCAAATTTATGTATAACATCTTGAGAAAATTCTACCACCACTTTCATGAAGTGCCTAGCATAGGCGACAACCCTGAAATAAACGGAGTGAGTAAGAATTCTGCAAGTGGGGAAGAAAAACTTTTGTTTGAATCAAGCAATGATACTTACTTGTTCCCACCCTTTGTTCTTTGCTAATAGGTCCAGCAAGAAGAGTTGCAGGCAGAACCCTGTGTATAAATGTGTCTGTTCTAAGTGGGAAGATAAAACACCTACAGCTGTTAGAAAGAGTCTGTGCTGGGTAGGTATATATCAGTTGCCAGTACAATCCTGATAAAAGAGCTTTCTTTCTACCACTGGGCATAATGGTTTGGTATCCTATGAGTGACATTTAAAAAATATTAGTATGCTAAATCCCATAGTAGAGCACAGAGAAGGTAGTGAAGGCAGTGATATGACTCTGTCTGAGTTAGGACTCAGTAAACTGCATAAGTAAATGTCAACATGTGCATGAGGATCTTGACTAATAGCTGCTTTTCCTCATGACTTATTTTTGAGGGCTCACCCCATTTAGCAGCGCCTTAACGGTATGATTTGGTACAGGCTGCAGGTGACGAGGGAGCACTGTGCCTCCACAGCACAGAGGTAGGTGGCTGAGTCTCCGGGCTGGGTGGCTGTGATGTTCAGGGTGCTGAGAAGTTTTTCCTTATCTAATGTGCTACTTAAGCTTCCTGACTTCTTCTCATTCCCACTTGAAATTAGTGTAAACAGGAATGTAGGAGCTTTCTCTTCCTGCTTGTACCACTGTAGGCTTTGAAAGTTCGTCACTTCATAACTGCAGTTGAGAATTGCACTGTCTCCCTCATGCACAACCAGAGATGGGGGGCTCTGTACCACTTTGTCTTCACTGCTCGCCCCTGTTTAGAAAAAAGTAATAATTATTCTCCATTGCAACTGTGAGGCTCCCAGATAAGTCAGAGTGAATTCCACTTTCCCCTCTTAGTCTTCTGAGAATCAATCCTTAGGTTTCCTGGTTGTCCCCGACCCTTTGTAGTAACCCTACTCACAGCTCAGTTGAAGCCAAAAGAAGTCAGAGTGAATTCCACTTTCCCCTCTTAGTCTTCTGAGAATCAATCCTTAGGTTTCCTGTTTGTCCCCGACCCTTTGTAGTAACCCTACTCACAGCTCAGTTGAAGCCAAAAGATCACTAGTGAAGCTTGTGGACACTTCTTCATCCTTCAGTTCCTAGGTGTATTTTTCTGGGCGAAATGTGATTCACTTGCCCTAAGCTTTTTCTTTTCTTTTTGAACCAACACCCTTTCCCCCCAGCACATGCATATGCATAGTGCACACGCACACGCACATGCACACTGTGAAAGGGAAATAGTAACTTGGCTATTGAGCCAGCCAGAAAAAAAGTATCATTTAGTTCTAATTTAAATTCAAATTCCTCCCAGTCAATCACCCACAGGAGTCATTCAAAACAGAACACTGCCATCTTGTGAGCAGGTGCAGAATAGTTGAAAACTTGCGTCCATATGTTTTACCAGTGTTGGTAGAGTCTTCTAAAATTGTTTCACCATTAAAAGACAGACTACCCAAAGCTACCCATAGCTCTATTAGTCAGTGACTATATCTCTGATCCAGGAGCCTTAAGGGAGTGGGCATGCCTGATCCATATTCTCTTTTATCTGCTTGCCAGCTGGAACCTGGTATGGCAGTGTCAAACTGTGCCCCTGCACGTGAGGGCAGGTTCCTCAGAAATAGTGGAATCCCCACATTGAAATAACCTGGATCCTCAAAGATCATGTAGGGAAGAACTATCTGCTGACCTGAAATACCTACTCCAGACTCAC